ATTTCCCTCCTCCCTCTTCCCCTCCCCCCCTTCCCAAAGCCTGGTGCTGCCTGAGACACCAGCCTGCCCCAGCTGGCCTGGGGGGAGGAGGGGCAGAGCAAATGGGATTGAGAGGATGATCCCAGCTAAGGGCAGGGGGGAGATATCTGTTTACATGGGGTGTCAGCTGTGAGCCGAAGAGCCAGCCAAGGGCTGGACTGGCAGCACCTCTGCTCTGGCCCTGTCTGTATCTGTCCTACGGCCCCAGTTCCCATAAGGCTCCAGGGCTCCTGGCCTCCTCAGGCAGCCTGGAAGTGGGCCGAGGCCCTGGCACATCCTGCTTGGCCCCGGCACAGAGCTGCATTCCAGAGATTAGGGCTGGAATGTGCCTGGACGGCAGGGGCGGGCAGGGAAGACGGGCTCTAGGACAGGCCCTTTCCCACCCTAGGGAGAGCTTGCCCTGCGCACAGCCTCCTAGATGGCAGCAGTTTCCTTTACAATCGCCTCTCTCCTGCCCTGCAATCCAACTGCCCCAGCCTTGCAGAGGAGGCTTTGGCCCAGGAGGGTTTGGGGGGAGGCGGTGTCTGAGCCACCATCTGAGGGGCCTGGAGCAGGGCTGACCCTACAGTGCTGCAAAGGGAGCCTGGCCTGGAGCCCATCCCCACGCAGCTGGTGAGATCGAACTGTCCCTGGAAGCAAAGGAAATTCCAGCAAAGCTTCCTTCCTTCCTGGGGGGCTCGGGGGGGCCTTGTGAAAAGGCAGCCCTGGGCTGCGGGGGAGGGGAGGCATTCTGAATTACGCTCCCTGGGGAGCACAATCCGTCTGGTCTGCTCCTTGCCAGCCCCATCTCAGGTCACACCCCTGTCGGTTGCAGTGGGCTCTCCCAGACTGGCCCCGGGGCTGGGAAATGCAGCTTGACACTGGATGAGGCAGCCCAGAGAAGGGTGCAAGGGCCCTGCTGCTGCTGGTGTGTCTGGGAGCTGGCTCCTGGGGGGGGTCTCTGGAGAGACCTGCTCTGCAGCAGGGGCGGGTGATAGGCACTGATGGGGAAGGCCCCTGGTAACCTGCTGCAGTGGGGTCAAGCAAAGGCAGTTCCTCATTCTGTGGGGTCAGCAAGGGCTTGGTGGCTCCACTGAGCTTGCAATGACTGGCTGCTTGGGGAACCTGGGAGCTGGGCGGGTGGGTTGATCCCAGCTCTCAGGGCTCCCAGGCAGGAAGAAAGTTCCCTCTGTCCAGAAGGCAGGGCCTGGGCCCTTGCAGAGCCTGGGCAACAGTGCAGGGGGCATAGCCTGGCACCAGCACAGCTTCCTATAGTCAGTGCTTCCCCTGGGGCTCTGCGCAGTGGGGCAAGGCCAGGGTGTATGTAGGAGGCCGTGACGGGGACAAGGATTTCAAAAGCTCAAACAGCTGAACCCAGGGTCTCCGCCCTGCTGGCTTGATGCTTTGAGCTGGCTAGGAGAGGCCCAGTACAGCAGGGGTGGGCAAAAGGGGCCTCCATGGGTGTGGCCCACCAAGCGGGTGGATCTGACCTGTGGAGGCCTTGCTGCTCCCCTGCCCCCAGGCCAATTAGGGGCTAGGGGGTGGGGAAGCAACAGAAGCAGTCTCCACTCTGCCCTGCCCTTAATTGGCCTGGGGGTGCAGGAAAAGCAGCAAGCCGCCTCCTGCCCTGCCAGGAGCAGGTGGTGCTCTGCTGGGGGTGGGGAGAGGGGCAGAGACTGTGCTCCCCAGGCCAATCAGAGCCTGGGGGCGGGGGAGCATGCCAAGCCTCTTCCAGGGCATGGGTGCCTAGTGGGAAGAGGGGGGGCAAAGGGGCTCCCCCACCCCCAGACCAAACATGGTCTGAGGGTGGGGCAGCCACCCCTTCCCGTTTAGGCTCTCTGCTCCTTCCAGGGTGGCCTGGGGCTACTTCAAAAAAAATTTGATGTGACCCCCCCCAGGCAAAAATTATTGCCCACCCCTGCAGTACAGGGTGGGTAGGGCCAGGGCTCTCCTCTTCCCTTCCCCCCCGAAATGGACCTGTCACAGGGCTTTCAGGCTGTGCCTCTGACAGATGGTGCAAATGCAGACCCCAGTGCTTGCAGGAAGGATGCTGCAGTCCCCCTGTGACCATGCCCAGGCATCCTTGCTTCAGGATGGCAGGACAGCTACCCCCACCAGACAAGGGAGGGCTGTCCCTGGTCTCCCTGGTAGAGACCCTGAACTTTGAGCAGCTGGGGAAAATTCTGTGCTGCTGCATCATGGCTCCGAGTGCAAAGGGCTCTCTCACCTGCCCCTTCTCTGTTGTCCCTGCAGACACTGCACCGTTGCCATGGCAAACAGGGGACCAGCCTATGGACTCAGCCGGGAGGTCCAGCAGAGGATTGACCGGCAGTATGACCTGGACCTGGAGCAGATCCTCACCCAGTGGATCCTGGCGCAGTGCGGCTCCAACATCCAGGCACCTGAGCCCGGGCGTGAGAAATTCCAGGAGTGGCTGAAAGATGGCACGGTGTGGATCACTGGGGTGGGAACCCCCCTTTTGCCCAGGAGCTGGGGCACAGGGCAGCTTCCCCTCCAAAATGGGCCAGCATTCCCCAAGTCTCTCCAGGGTTGCCAGCTTTCTTGACCAGACACCATTTGTAGCAATGGCTTCTGGTCAGGGAAAGTTTCAGCCTAGATCTCAAGACCAGAGGCGCCAGGTTGGCTCTGCCCCAAAGAAAGAGGGGACTCTGCCCCGAAGAACCCCCCACAGACAGCCCTGTCCCCTGTTACAGGGTGCTGGGGAGGCTGCTACAGGAAGCAGCCCAGGGCACTGGCTGAGTCCTGGGTTTATCTTTGTCCTTCCCTCCTGTCCAGGTGCTCTGCAGACTCATCAACAGCCTCTTCCCAAAGGGCCAAGAGCCAGTGGCCAAAATCCAGGCCTCAGCCATGGCCTTCAAGCAGATGGAGCAGATCTCTCAGTTCCTGCAGGCTGCGGAGCGGTATGGCATCGCCCCCACTGACATCTTCCAAACCGTGGATCTCTGGGAAGGTAGGGAGAACTGAGGGGGGAGCGGTTGGCATGGACACAACTGCCCTTGCTCATGCAGGATGCCTAACCCCTGGCATGAGGAGGAGCAGGGAGCTCCGAGCTGGAGAAGGCAAAGACTCCTTCTGTGAGCAGCCCACCTTAGATCAGCCCTTATGCCGTGCATGAATCCAAACTCACCCCTTTCATGGGGGTCCTAGCTTCATCAGCACAAGGCTGCTTCCCCAACTCTGCTTATCCTGGGGATCCTCCCCTGGGTGACTCAGCTTACACCCTAGATTGTCTCCTGCCTCCCTTGTATCTGTGGGTGGGAGAGGTGCATGGATCTCCTGCTTCAGTGTTAGCAGAGTCGCTTGGCCCTTTCCCAGCAGGCTCTTTGCCTGCTAGCAGGGGACAGCAGATGCTTCTATCAAATGCATAGCCTTTGGATGGGCCAGGCCGGTTGCTTTGAGCAAGAGTCTGGGGATGGTATATTACAGGTGTAAGCAAGATCTAGCCCACGAGCTGAATCCAGCCTGCCTGGCTGTTTGACCCAGCTCACCCTGCCGTGTCCTCAGGCCAATCGAGTACACAAAATCTCCCCCTCCCCACCAGGGGGGTGTGGTGCCAGAGGGAACTGCCAGCTGTTCAGAACGGCTGGTGGCTCCCTCTGGGTGCCGTGCACAGCTGGCAGGGAGGGGTGAGGAGGAGAGACCTCCTGTGCTCCCCTGCCCCATAGGAGAGCATGCAAAATCTCCATCTTCCCCCACGCAGTGCCTAGAGGGAACTGCCCCTTCCACCTGAGGCCCTGCCCCTTCTAGGGCCAGCCTGTGACCACTACCAGTATTGGTGAAGTGGCCCCCCCTACAAAATGATGGGCCACCCCTGGTATATTATCATGGTTCTCTAGACTGACTGCTTATCCTGGAGCCTTGCTCAGGCTCTGCATGTGACCCACTGACTTTGGGGGTGAACTGGGGTGAGCTGCAGGCCCCACTGGCAGGTAGGGTTGGGTTACTGGCCCCCAGTGCTCCCTGGGCACGCTGCTGGTGCTGAATGCACCCGAGTCAAACGGCAGCATGTTGCTTAGGGTCTCTGTGCCCTCCAGGGAAGAACATGGCCAGTGTGCAGAAGACCCTGATGAACCTGGGAGGTCTGGCTGTTACACGGGAAGACGGGCTCTTTGTGGGAGACCCCAACTGGTTCCCCAAGTAAGTGGCTCTTCAACCTTTGAGTAACACAACAGCCCCTGTGACCCAGGACCTCTGGGGGAGGGGAGAAGTCAGGCCAAGCAGGTATGGCCCAGCTCAGGGTTTAGTACTCTGTCCCAATCTGGCCTGGAGCCACTGGATGTGGGATTCTACTCTCCAGACAGGGAGGCTGGACTGAGCCCAGCAGCCAGCGTACAAGGGATGCAAGCACCTTTCAGCATCTTGCTGCCCCCTCCCCAGCCTGCAAAGGGGGGACTGTAGGGCTTGGTCTCTGCCCACTTGTACAGTGACTGGGTATCGGTTCATCCAGCCTGACTGTGCCCTAGAAGGCTCTGTTGCCAGTGATGTGAAGGCTGAGCAGTCACTGTGCCCTCCCCTGCTGGGCCTCCCCTCTGCAGCTCAGTATGGGTCACTGTCTAGCCATTGGGTGCCCCCCAGATCTCTGCCTGTGTCCCCTCCACGCTGACTCATGCTTTCCTCACTCCCAGGAAATCCAAGGAGAACCGCCGGGGCTTCTCAGAGGACAAGCTGAAGGAGGGTCAGAATGTGATTGGGTTGCAGATGGGCACCAACCGGGGTGCATCCCAGGCAGGCATGACAGGCTACGGGATGCCACGCCAGATCCTCTGATCAGCCCACACGGCAGCACTCCCTCTCCCCTGTCTCCCACCCCTCCCACTAGGGTTTAATATATTTGTCTACAGTCTAGAAAATCAGGGCATGGTACCTTGAATATCCCCAGCAAACCTCTCCAGTGTAACCTGCCAGGGCCTCACACTGAGTCTGCCTTCAAATCTCCCCATTCCAGCACCTCGAGGGGCTCTTGTCTCCAGTGCAAGACCCAAATGCCCCCATACTGTTGTACACCCCAGTTCTGTAGGGACCAAACTCCATTTCCATGTGGACCAAATGAGTGTCTAGGCTGACACTGGGACCAGTCAAGGCTTGCCCCCCCGGCTGCCAAGGCCAGATCTCTCCTGCTTGGGGCTCTGAAGTGGCAAACCTGCCTCTTCCATTCCAGATAGCAAGGTTTGTGGCTTTGCTGAACTGTCCATAGTCTTAGGACCACGAATCTCCTTCGCAGTTACAGCTGGCAGCTGTCCTATCTAATCCGGTGCTTGTGCTGCAGAGCTGTCTGCATTCTCTCCTGTGCTAGGTAACAAAACCCAGGCTCCAGCTGCTGGGGCTCAGAAGAAAGGCTGCAGTACCTTGCAAGGGGCTTGGGACAGGGCATTGTCAGCCAGCGGGTCCCCCTCCCTCAAGGTTTGGAGCAGCTGTGCTCTCACCAGGTCTGGAGGAGCTAGGAAGTGCTCAGCCCTTCCATGGGAGTCCATTGCACCATGACCCCAGAGCTAGCTAGCTCCCCAGAGCTGTGGGCCATAGTGCTCCTGGTGACGTGTTGCTTGACCCCAAGCCCTGCTACTCCAGCAGTGCTGCATGCCTGGCTCTGGAGCTAGGCTGGAGCTGTCTCCTGTGCTCTGATCACTGTGGCATGTGCCTGAGGTCACCAGTTGGAATAAAGATCACTCAAATCTTGTTTATAATCCTGTGTCCTTGTGTGTGTGAAGGGAGAAGCCCAGCACAAAGGAGGGGGTGTGGGATGGGGGGGCTGTGCTCTGATCACTGTGGCATGTGCCTGAGGTCACCAGTTGGAATAAAGATCACTCAAATCTTGTTTATAATCCTGTGTCCTTGTGTGTGTGAAGGGAGAAGCCCAGCACAAAGGAGGGGGTGTGGGATGGGGGG